TCTGACATGAGTTTGGGTTTGMATTGTTTTCTTTTTTAATTTGTTGTTTGATCTGATTGTAGGTGAGGCTTATTGAAATGAAATGGGATTTGATCGTGAGATGGCGAATGATTGGTTATTCTCACATCTTCACGCTTGAATGTACGCTTCGAACAAAAAGAAAAGAAAGGTGACGAAAAACAAAGCGATCACAAAGGAGAAGAAATCAATTGGGCATAAACCTTTTCGTGAGGTCACCCATCCTTTCTCGAATAACCCTCTCTTTCTTTATGCCCGTCTGTCTGAATGATTTACTCTTCTGTGATCTTCTCCTTTGTGTAAGTTGCCCTCGACGTCAGGCGGCAAGAGATCGTTCGCCTGCTATGGGAGACGTTTTTTCCTTCGCCTAGGAGGCATCTGAGGTGGGGGTTCGTTGCCTTAGGGGTCGGCCCTGTTATCGACTCGGAGTGGGCCGCTTTGTGGAGGGATACCATGCTGTCGTGGTGGAGCCAGCCCGACTTCTGAGATCCGAGGTTCGCTCGGGCGAGGACAAGGGGTATCCCATACCACCTCCTAGGGGAAGGACTTGCGACCATTCATGGAAGGGCTTTAAGTTGTTGTTTTTTTTTTTGACGCCTCGCTTTAAGGAGAGTTGCCATAGCATACCCCTCTAGTGGTCGTCTTAGGAACCACTGAAGTATGGGGAACTGGCGCCAGAAGAAGCCCTGTTCGTGTACTTACTAGTCTTGGATGGAGTGCGAGTAGGCACTACCTTCGCGGATAGGATTGCACCATAAGAAGTGCAAACCTGGGGAAGTTGAGATGGGTTGATAGGAAGTAGCGACTAGAGCAACGCTTTAAAGATTCTTATAATGAAGATGTGTACTTCATCATTCGTGGGACGGAAAGAATCATTATTGTCGAGGAGGAGAAGGCAACCAACAAAATTGGAGAGCGGACCCCGTTTTCGGCGGGGTAACCAGTGTATCGGTCGTCCAAATCGGCCGCTAATTTGAATAGTGATCGCCGAGTTACTTGCGAAAGTCGTTCACACCAAAGTTAGAAAGATAGTGAAGTCATCATTAAAGCAATGGTATCCTAGCTCTACTTTTTTTTCTAGCAGTCAGTATGAGGCGGAAGGAAAGAACTTGGCAACGCATATGATCAAGTCGAAAAGTTGTGTCAGCCCAGCCATTTGGCAGGCAGAATGAAGATATTTTGGTCAGACGCTATTTGAGTGTCGCTATGCATGTTAATCATGCTTTTATCCTTTTGTTGATAAGTGTTATCTTTTACCCTTTTGTTGATAAGTGTTATTTGATGTCGAGTCAACTCATGTTGGCTCGTCGTTGGATGGCAAGTCAAGTCGACCTATGTCGACTCATTCTAAATGGGCGGTATGCGTGTTGAATTGTATTATGGATGAATTGATTTCAGAAGATAAGTCAACGTACGTTGACCTTAGTCTTCTTCATTTGAAAGCGTTTTGTCTGAGTAACTTTTGATTGTCTTTGAAAGAAGGGACTAGGATCGCTCGAAGTTTTCCTTACGCTTGGAATATCACGTCCTAGTCCACCGACATACGTTTCGATTCCTGGGAGATCAGCGCCCCAGGGACGGACGACGTTCGGGTCCACTTTGGCGTTCAACCATGCGTACCTATGCTACAGCGAAGGAGCAAACGCCCTTGGCCGGCCTACCTCTGGAATTGCATTATAAAAGCCTTCGCACGTGGGCCGGTAGCTCGGCGGGGATACACCCCTAAGGGTGGTGACAGCCCCTTAGGAAAGGTAAGTTGTGCCCCACAGGAACCTATCATGTCGTAGGGGACCGCAAGATGTACGGCTGGCGCACTCGGCCAGAGCGGCGAAGGGTCGACGCGAGTTACCGTGTCGTCCCCGAGTTGTCTATGAAAAGTTGAAAGTCTAAGTTTCTCCTGCGTGACGCGGCGGGGAGCGCCCTCGCTCGCTCGGGGGTCGATGCGCTCAACAACGGATCCTCGGTTTATTATGTACGTCGCCCCACTGGGCATGTAACACACACACACACACACACACACACACACACACACACACACACACACACACACACATTCGATTTTGTTCATCCTATCGATGGAAGTAGCATTAGGCCAGTCGTAGGGCTGGAGACTTACCTGTTGGCCTGTGCGTTGCTCA